GTATATATATATATATATATATATATATACCAGATGAACATATATCTAGTAAATGCTAGGGCATTCACGACGAAACAAGATAGTTCTAGAAACGTGGCGTGACAGTAGTCACGTGACCTCGCTGATGCAACAATATTTAGATAAAAGAAGGCTTATGAAAGCAGGCACTTGAGAGAAAACTAGCATGAAACTAAGTTAAGTTTTAAATTTATTGTTGCTTTTTTTATTTACAATTATATATGTTTTTAAAAAAATTAACTAAAATGTAAAATTTTTGTTACGTTAGTGAAAAAAAAAAGAAAATGAATAACAAATTTTTTTCGTTTACTCCTTAAAACAACACTTAAGAAACATGCAGTTAGACATGCTTGATGTAATCTGTGCTGTCCCACCTGGTGATTTACTTTTTTTGTGGTAATTAGATGATGTTCGAAGAACAGTAAAATGAAATGAAAATAGTTGTGAAAAGTTAACATGTCTAAAGATGAATAATTATAATTGTTTATTACAACCTGCAATCATTCTGAAAGAAAAAAGTATTTTTGATTTCATATCATATTTTCAACTTTTGTTACATGTAATTTTGCTTCAGTTAGTGTTAAAGTAAAGAAAGTTAAGAGATAAGGTTTAAAGTTTTACAGAAAAACTTTTTATCTTCATTTAGGAGGCTTTAAATGCAAATGAAATATGAAAACTGCAAGGTGAAATATGAAAATCACCTTTAACTCGGACTGACCAAGTAAATGCTTTGCAAATTCACAGACAAATCTTTTTTAGATACAATTGTAATTTTACTAAAAGCTTGCCGGCTTTTATTAAAATACATTTAGTAAACCAAAAGTTATAGTTTGTATAGTTTCATGGTTACATGGTGATTGCAAAATCAGTCAAAATGACCAATATCATTATCCATAGGTTTAACATGGCTTAAGAATTCCAACTTTTTCTCTTTTTTTTTTTTTCTTGGCCATTACATGAGAACTGAGATTTGTAGAATTCATAAACTTCAAGTATTTATTTAACTTCATAAACTTCATAGCTTAGTTTGTTGAAGTAAAATAATTTTAGTCCTAGTTTTCACTTAAAAAAAATGTTTTTTGTTTAATGTAGTATGTTAGTCTTACAAATCTGGGTGTTAACTTGAGGCATACAATCATCACTTGCATGTTTACAAGGCTTCACAAGACAACTGCTGCTTGATGAAAGTTAAAACAATGGTCATTAACAACATGAATTATAAATCTAAGCATTTTTTTTTCACCAACAAACAGTGGGTTACTAGCAAACATCGGTTCAGTTGAAATTGACATAAAAATTGCTTGAAAAAACTTGTAATGATACTTAGAAATAAACTACACTGCTGTTGAGCAATGTAGGTAGGTTTGACTTGTTGGATTGATGTTGGTTAACTCTGTTTATACAATTTTGACCACCTTGAAACTATACTTACTGTAACTTTTTATGAAATTTGGGAAGCTTTTAGTAAACATTACAAGTCTAGTATTTAAAAAGAATCATAGTTTTTAAATTATTTTTACTAAAGATTTGTTTGTGATTTATGGAGTCAGAGTCTGACTCAGTCAATGAGTGCAAAGTTATTTTCATGCTAAGATTTAAATTATTTTTTTCATCTTCAAGTTTTTAGAATTTATTTGGATAACCACTGGAACCTCCTAAATGAATATCAAAAGTTTATATTTTTTTATAACTATATATTTTGTCTTTTATTTTCTCTAACCTAACACTACATCAGCTCAGTACATTTAACTGAAACCATCACATAGAAATATGAAATCTAAATTACCCCCCCCCCCTTTTTTTGTTTAGAATGTAACAAAAAATTCGTTATTTATCTTAAACAGCCTCAGGCTTAAAACAGTTTATGTCTATTTTGATATAATTTTATTGTTTTTTTGAACCATGTGTTATGGGCAGACCTTTGGGCTAGTTGTTGGAGCTTCAACTCTACTGCCAGTTACGCCAAATTTATTTAAAGAGAAATGCACTTGTGAGTGGAGCACACAAGTCACTAACTCGAAGTAATTTATGGTTAGACTAAAGAAAATGACTCTGAGACTTAGATTTCACAAAATACATCAATTTTATTTATGTTTTTACTTAGAACATACACTCTTTTACTTTAGCAGTTGGTTAGTTCTTCAGTAATCAAGTTATCTGTTGCTGTCAGTACTTTCTTAATCTACACATAAATGGATCATTTTCTTAGATACCTGTCTCTGTCGCTCTACTTTCTCGTTTAATCCATGTAAGTCCACGGTGGTCGCAGTTCCGAATAAGAATTTCAAAATACTTCCACCCGCATTTATTAAACCACGTCTCTCTCGAGTTCGGTCCGATATCGATATGCTATCTTTGATATCTTTTCATTCTAATAATAAATCACCTGTCTCGTCATGCTATTGTCTAACTGAAGTTTTATAATTTTCAATTAGTCTTTGTAAGATTCTATTTGATATTCTCTGTACGTTCGGTTATTAGTATGGTTACAAGAAGAGTTAGTAACATTCGAGAATTCATTTGACATGAATACTCGTGTTACTATTGATGTAGGAAGTTCAGAAGCTATGACATTACATCACATTAGATATCAGGGAACAGCTATCTTACAGTTAGCAAGCCCTTTTTGACAAAAACCATACCTACCTTGTTTTCTACTGGAACAATAC